TAGTAGAAAAAAGTGAGAATAATATTGATAAGATCACGGATAAGATCTTGCTGGATAAAGAAAAATACTATGCTGTCTATTTTGATGAAGATTGGTATGTAAGCAGAATTTTGAGAATGACTAAAAAATCCTGTAACATGAAATTTTTAAAAAGAAATGCTTAAGCCCGGAATCAATGGAATTTTGAATGGCCTTTGAAAGAAGATAGTAGAGCGATTGAGAATAAGTTTTTTTTTGGCCCTATCACCCCATTCCAAGTTTTGTTGGTACCTACCTAGAGGTGTTTAGTGTTTCCTCTACTTTCAGTATACCTTGTCAAATCAATGCAGTGGTGACAAAGTGACATTTAGCCTATTTTTAAAATTAAATTAGTTAGTAGGTAGGTAAAACTTCAAAATATTAAGAGAATACTTAGAAATACTTGGAAATACTAAGAAATATGTATTCATAAATACTTGGAAATACTAGGGAATATTTGGAAATACTACTTAGAAATACTCGAAAATATATGGAAATATTGTGAATTGTTAAGAAAAACGGAAATCGGCCCCCCCAGGCCCCCCCTGTAGTTACGCCACTGGTCATGAGTATCAATATGCAAAACGGTACAGGTACTGAGATAGATATTAAATCAACTTAAATTCTGTTTTTTTTTTTCAAGATAAAAGTCAAAATGGCACTATGTTGGCAATACAATGTAAAATTGTCAATGCTTTCAAATTTTTTATGTAGAAAAGGCTTGTGTTGCCAACATAGTTACTAAATTTTTGACTTGGGGAATTATCTTTAAAAAAAAAACAGACTTTATATTTATTTTCTGTTATTTTCCGAATGAGTCAGAACGCGTTGGGTCAGATTGACAACTGTGCGATCATTGCATGTGGGTTTAGATAGAAGATCCTTGTCCATAGCTGCTAGGTATTTCCTTGTTTGGTGAATCCGTTCCCGAAGCAAGGCTCTTTCCGCTCATTCGAAAATTCTGTTAGATTGGGAGGATTTAAAAATTCTTTGTATACTAGTAGTGTAGTCAATCTAGGCAGGTTTATGCAGTTGAGGTAGAAAAAATTAGTAACAAAGTGATCTCTGGGGAAATGAGTAGTCAATAAGGTCCTAACTAATCCCTCAAAAATCGCTCTTTGTCGCATTGGTGCAACTTAGAAAAAAAATGGTCGCCATCTTGATATTTTTGGAATTTATTGAATATTTCGTAAAGTATGCATTATATCAAAAAAACCCAATAGAACTTTTTTGTGGAGAATAAAAAGTTACATATAATGAAAGAAATTTCAACAATATTAGCTGAAAAATAAAAAAGTTTATTGGAGTTTAATTTATTTAAAAATTGAACTTTAGGTAAAATCGCGAAATGTATGCATTTTTCTAATAAAACTAAAGAATGCCTTTTAGTAGAGGATTGAAGATACCTATATTGAGATAAAAAAAAAACATCAGTAAGTAATTATCAAAAAATTTGATGTCAAAGGTTTAAAGCATGGTCTCAAGTTTCCAGTCTTCCTCTTCCATTACTGGGAAGGTTTAATGATTTTTTATAAACCCTAAAGCAATGATTGTTAAAGTAAAGGATTAAATTTATATAAATCACTTAGTGTCTATCCAGACAGTACACAGACATCTTGGAGACGTCCCTAAGATGTCCATAAACGACATTCTTTTAGACGTCTGCTTAGGTCTTCAAGACCTCTTAAAGACATCTTAAATACGTCGTATGTTACAAAATCCAACGTCTTTCAGACGTCTGGCTAAAGACGTCTTCAGGGCTAATATCTTATTATTATTACTCATTCTATAACTATCAATTTTTGTCTATTCCAAATGCTAGGGTCTTAAATTCTTGATTTCCCTAAACGAAAACATACGAAAAATTAATTTTGGAAGAAAACCATTTGAAGAGACAGGACTGAAAATTAAAAAACAAATCAAAAGCCTGAAATAAAAAAAAATTACAAGAATAATGAGAATTCAAGAACTTGAAAAAAAATTTCAACAGCCAAAAGAAAATTAAGAATTTAGAATAAAAAAGTAAGGAAAAATCAAGAGCCTGGAATAGAAAAAATTATAAAAATTCAAGAATTTGAATTGGAAGAGGAACATTTCCTTGTTAATATTTCCTTATTATTTATTACTCATTTTATAACTTTCAATTTTTATCTATTCCAGGCGTTAGGCTCTCTGAAATAATTTTGAGGTTTGCCTAAAGTGTTCTAACTTGGCTTGAAGAGTTCTGGAGCATTCTATAAGTTTTCCAGTAATTTCTAAATTGGGAAGTCCGCTCCTTTAAAGGATCCATGTTAAATTTCAAAATGTTGTGACAGATTTTTATTCTAGAGCCCTATTGAAGTTCCAAAGTGAAGTTGAATTGGTTTAAAAGCATTCTAAAAGGTTTCCAGTTCTAAATTGAATCGTAATTGTTCTAAAATATCTCTGAAGTTTCTGAATTGTTCCAAAATGCTCCATTCTAATAATGGTTCGGATTCTGAAGTTCAGAAGTACAAAAACCAAAATTCTTCGAAGCGCTACAGAATGCTTTTGGAAATTATGAATTGAATTTTCAGTGTTTTGAACTTTCGAAAAGGCTTATTATTAAAGTTCTAAACTACAAAACCCAACGCCTTTCAGACGTCTACCTATAAAGACGCCTTTTGAACTAAGGCATTCTAAAGACGTCTTCTTTTTTTGGTCTTCAGACGTTCAGATGTAATGGAGAATGCAGACCTAAAAAAGGCGTCTTTAAGACTTTGTGTGCTGTCTGAGTCTGGATAGTTTCCTGCCCAAATGTTTTTCTTGTCATATGTGTTTTTGCTTCCTCTCAACAAAAATATCTAGAGTATCAAATTTATTGAATTTTTCTTCCATTAAATGTAGTTTTTTATTCTGCACAAAAAAAATACTTATTTGAGTTTTTTTCAGATTCCATGTTGCCAAATGAAGTTAAATGTCGATAACTTTTTCGTTTTCCAGCTAATGGCCTTGAAATTTCTTTCTATACAAGTAATATTTGATTCTCCACAAAAAAGTTCTCTTGAGTTTTTTTGATATAATGCACACTTTACGAAATATTTAATAAATTCCAAAAAAATCAAAATGGCCATTCCGACAAAGTGCGATTTTTGAGGAATTAATTACGACCCTATTGACTACTGATTTCCGCAGAGATCACTTTGTTACTAATTTTTTCTACCCCAACCAGCCTATTTTTGGAATAAACAGACCCAAGATTTCAGTCACGCACCCCAGAGTCGTGACAATACCTACTAACCAATAATAATAGTAACTTATGCCAATATTTTTTTTTTTTTCAGCTTATTGATTATAAATTCAAAGTGAAATCGAAAAGACAAGTGTCTAATGTAGAGAAAAAAATAATTATTTTTAATGGACTGATGGTGATAGTTGCGATAATTATTAGTGTCAGTAATTACTTGGAAAGATTAAAATTGCGAATAAATTAAAATAAGTGGCGACGATAGGTAAGGTGATAAAAAATATTGTAGTTTTTATTGCATATTATTGCAAATTGACTCAATAATAATTAGTACCTACCTATTTACGTACCTAAAAACTGAACAATTATATCCCAAATGCCAAAAAATTGGTCTGTTTCTCAGCTTGTAAGATGGAAATGTAGACAATTAGTATAAATACTACATAAATATAATAAAAAAAATAAATCCAACAAAACATTGATGATACAAATTTGTTGATCTTAGAGGTCACAACAAAATAATACATCATTGTGTTAGATAATATGTTTATTTTCTGATATAAGAAGTCATAAAAATTAACATAATTTTCTCGATTCAAACAATAATATATGATTTAATAATGTTTACACAAAAGGTCAACGGAATTGGAATAAATAGGAAATCACTAATATGCAATATTATCTAGTTTCTTGACTTCTCCTTGTGAAAATTTGTGAAGTTTTTCCCATGATTTACTTTGGGTATTTGTACAAGACTCATATTTTCCTACGAAATTCCCAACTAATATGACCTAGTCGTGGATAAAAAATAAATGCAATATTTAAAGAAGCAAAAGATCGTTCCAATCAAATGACCGTAAAAAACGAATAATTAGTTTTCAAGATATTTACTGTCAAAGTTGCCATGAGCTAAATAAGAAACAATTTGTTGGACCTTTTATCCTCAAATTAACACTTTTCTAACTTTCCTCTCGGACACGTCAATTTTCATTGTTTATTTAGAACGACATACTTACGTAATGTTGACATTTCTGACTTTTCAAAAGTTTGAAAGTGACACTTTTTTGAATTTTAGTTTCCTCCCGGGTGGAAAGTGGTTCCGGGTGAAATGTTAGCCCTCAAATGTTGAATACAAGTCCTGCATGTCAAACTTTCAACAACAATTTTTTTAAATTTTTATTTAGCATTTAGAGAAAAATTGTGATGGTTGTAATTGTTGTAAATAAAACAGTATACAAACCCCGGTAGGAAGATTCATTCCTAATCTCTCGACAGTAATGCTTGTAATGAAACACTTCCCACCTTCGATATGTAATATACTTACTATTGTGTGCTTTTGAAAAAATGAAAATTGACGTGTCCGAGAGGAAAGTCAGCAGGAAAGTGTTAATTTGAGAATAACAGGGCCAGAAGATTGTTTCTCATTTAGCCCATGGCAACTTTGATGGTGAATATCTTGAAAACCAATAATTCGATTAAAAAAAGAAGTACGCAGTTCTGACGAGAATCAAAATACCTTTAAAACAAGGTACCACTCGACCCATCTTCCCTATTTAAAAAAAGGAGTTTTATCCCTCTATTGCGTGAAATACTTTACCAGAAAAAAACTAAATTGACATTGTCGACATCTGTCATTGACATTACTTTAGTGCATTAGTGCGTGAAGTGAAAATTTACGTCTTTTGAAGAGTTCGTAAAGTGAGTACTTTACGCACAGTAGTAGAAAAAAAATAAGAATAAATTTGCAAAATTTCCTAAAAACTCCAAATAATGTTACCTTTATTTGAAACAAATTGTTGTTTTTGATTGACTATAATCTGGCAAGAAGAAAATGTAGCGGTTCCCGAACACATTTTCAATACATTTTTATAAAAACAAAACTTAAACACTTATGCCTGTATTACATCTGTGTATTTTTCCCTGTATTTATTCATGTAGTTCAGGGTGACAACCGAAAAACTTCAAACGCATTATAAGTCAGCATTATGAAAAACAAAATAATGTTGGCATACTGAACTACATGAATAAATACACGGAAAAATACACAGATATAATACGGGCATTATACACAATAGGTATTTATAAAAAACAAAGCCGCGATAAATTGCTTTTCTCTGGTAACCGCGATTCTTTCCACTGCACAGCAAAAGCCGTAATATTCTATCGTTGCAAGTTATTTGGTATCCTACTCGCCTAGGAAATGAATGTAAAAACAAACAAGAGTTATTAGAATTGGACGAATGGTACCTCTAGCGCCTAGGAGAGTGGGATCATATTTTGATGTCCAATGCATCTGATTTTAATAGGAACTTTTTTTTTGGTCAATGTCACGGACATTCTGGTTTCAGAGAATGTTAACAAGTGCAACTTTTTTTTTGTCAATGTCTAGACTAGAATGTTTAAAATTAGCTTCTTTGCAAAAATTATGCAAGCGGAAATTGGCCAGAAGCAAATAAAGATATTTCAAATAGGTAATTTAATAACAGGAACAATAGTTATTATCCTAACTTAACTGCTTAACTGCAGCGGCAGTTCGCGTGCTGGAAAGTATAACTTTCCGCACTTGTTAGGATCAAGATTTTTTTTCTACAAGCACATACTTTATATATTTTTTCAATATGGATACTAAAAGTACAGTTCGTTCCATTAACTTTGATAACATTGTAATCTGATAACCATATAGCCACCCTATAACAACGCGACTTAAGTAGGTGAGTTTGTCATTGCTTTTAGTAAATTCTACACAGGTGTGTACTCTTGCTACTAGGTTCACTCAATTTTGCACGCCTATTTTCAACCCGTATTGAGTAACATAAGAATTTTTCATTTTCTCAAAAAACCGGCGGGAAAGTGCACATTTTGCAAAATTTGAAAATAGGTGTGCAAATTTGTGCAAAATTAGGTGAACCTAGTAGCATGAGGATTTTCCAACTTTTTGAAAAACGAGGGGGGAGGACAAGCATAGGATCTTTCAATTTTTTGACAAACGGGGGGGAAGTGCCCATTTTTAATGCCTTATAACTCTCCCCAGAAACGTGCGCAAAATTGTGCAAAATTAGCCAAAGCGAGTAGCATAAGATTTTTCAATTTTTCGATAAACGGCGGGGATAGTGCAAATTTTTAATACCTACCTCAATTACCTCATAATAGTTATTTATGATATAAGTGCTAAAAGTGACATTTTATTTTGTGAAAAGGGAAGTTTGGGACACGACGCCGAAGGCGGAGTGTTCCATTCCTTTGAACAAAATAAAATCACTTTTAGCACGAATATCATACACTATTTTTTCTACAAACGCACTAAAAGTGATTACTTTTAGCACTAGTCCTAAAAGTAATCACTTTTAACACCAGTGTCATAAAATGGCATTTTAGACACTGACAGCATCCGTTAAAAAGGACACTTTTAGTGACGTTTGTAGAAAATAGTTATTTATGATATAAGTGCTAAAAGTGACATTTTATTTTGTGAAAAGGGAAGTTTGGGACACGACGCCGAAGGCGGAGTGTTCCATCCCTTTCAACAAAATAAAATCACTTTTAGCGCGAATATCATACACTATTTTTTCTACAAACGCACTAAAAAGTAACTACTAAGCACTAAAAGTAATCACTTTTAACACCAGTGTCATAAAATGGCATTTTAGACACTGACAGCATCCGTTAAAAATTACACTTTTAGTGACGTTTGTAGAAACAGTTTTTTTTTCTTTAAGATAAAAGTCAAAATGACATTATGTTGGCAATGCAATGTAAAATTGTCAAAGGTTTCAATTTTTTTATGTAGAAAAGGCTTGTGCTGCCAACATAGTTATTGAATTTTTGACTTGGGGAATTATCTTTAAAAAAAAGACATACTTTAACTTTCCCCAGAAAAGTGTGCAAAATTTGAAAATAGGTATGCGAAATTGTGCAAATTTAGGTGAACCAAGTAGCATAAGAATTTTTCAAGTTTTAGACAAACAAGGGGGAACGGTCAAGTTGGCCCCCAGTTTAAAAAACTGCTCTAGTTTTCGTTGTGTTGTGTGGGTATGTAATATTTTAGTCATAGTGTCCAAAAATATTAGGGTTTATTTATTTTTTTGCGATTGACAAGAAATGTCAGCATTTTTGACCGATTGCCTGGTCCCAAAACTCAATATTCTGGTATTTCAATTATATATGTTTCAATAGTTGCTAAGGAATCAATGAATAACAATATGGGAAACACTTTTCCAGCCTAGGCCGGGAAAGTGATTCTCGTACTGCTGAATAATTGGAACCAAAAGACAAACATTTAACAGACAAACATTTAACCGATCGCAGAAAAAATAGTAGGTATGTGTATTTCAGTGGAAAAGCACATTCTCGGCCTTCGGTATTTGCCGGCCTCGGCTACGCCTCGTCCGTCAACTTACACCGTCGGCCGAGAATGTGTCACTTTTCCACCTAAATACACAATATACTATTTTGAAATTTGTTTAATACGGGCGGAAACTTGACCGACCCCAAAATTTACTTGTTGGTAAATAAACCGATCTACTGGAAACTAAATAAATAATTCATAATTCGAAATTAAACATAAATTTCTAAGTGGCAAATTCGCCAAATATACTGAAAAAAAAACCTAAAGAAAATTATAGAATAGCTTTCATCTATGATATTCGTTGGTAAATTATAAAATATGTTAGAAAATATATGTTTAACTTCCTAATTCCTCTTGGCACGCGTCTGTCTCCCTATGCATGCAAAGCAAATATTTTACTCTAATAACTTCATTCAGAGAAGCGGACATGGGCGCTGGCTCGCTGGCTGGATGCCGAATCAACAGCACTGACAACTCGGCAACAGTGGGCAATAGACTCGAGCCAGCATCCACACCGGCAAAAGCCGGCGTCCATCGAGGTATCAAAAATCAGAATACGGACGAGACTTCTAGAGACGTTAGTCTATAATATTCTTTGGTTAGATCTATTCAAAGGAGAATTTGATGATTAAGGGACAAGGGTTGAAGCTCACCCCTGTGACACAGTTGAAAAATTATGCACAAAAGACTTCTCCTTCAAAACAAAAACAACGAATTTTAACTTTTTTTCGTCCAGCGATGAACTCTTTTTTTTCCATTGTTCTTCCCTTATTTTCTGAAAAACAGTTTCATCAAATTTAAAAGATTAAGGAAACGTTGACAAGAGAATTTGGTTACCTTTAAAATAAGTAGGTACCACTCGACCACCATTTTCTTTTAAGATTTTGGGGTTGGAGCTCATCCCCACGAAGGGGTTGAAGCAGGGACGGAGCCATGGGGGGGGGGGGTTTCTAAAATATATCGAAAGTTGGGAAAACTTGGATGAAAAATTTAAAGTTGGGAAACATTGGCAGACAAAAATTTGCGCACCTTATTTGCGAGGACTAATTAAAATTAACATTAGGATCGTGTCACGTGTCGTGATTCGTAATGAATTGCAAAATCACCGGACAACAGGATGACGAAATCTCAATGATCGCGGCTCACTTTATTTGAAATGATATCGCAAAATAAACTCCACATTCTCATTGTCACTTTTTCTCCACTACATGATGATGTTATTAGATTTTTGATCAGACGTTTCGTTTCTTCGCGATTGTCATCAACTCTGTTACTTTAAATGGTCGAATTTTTTTAATTTTATGCCCAATAAACTCTACTTTTTATTCTAAATCCAACGACATATCAAGCTCATAATTCCAGGAATAATAATTTCTAGTAGTGGTCTCATTAACGGGCCTCCGCGATCTCCGGTCATTACACCGATGGATTTTGTCTTTTGAGGATTCCTTAAGAATGAAGTTAACTGACTTTTCAGAATCCATCGGTGTAATGTCTGGAGATCGCGGAGGTCCGTTAATGGGACCACTAGTGAAAATTAATAAATATTCCTGGAATTATAAGCTTGATATGTCATTGGATTTAGAATAAAAAGTAGAGTTTATTAGCCATAAAATAAAAAACTTGACCATTTGAAAAAACAAAGTTGATGGTGATCGCGGAGAAACGAAACGTCTGATCAAAAATCTAATAACATTATTACGTAGTGGAGAAAAAGTGGCAATGAGAATGTGCGATATCATTTCAAATAAAGTCAGAAAAAAATAAAAACGATTTCGGCAAAATTCGGTTCTTCATGGATATCTTCGAAATCATTCGGAGTTTCCAAAATATCAAAATATGACGCCACTGAGCTCAGTAATGCGCAACTTTTTCCAAATTTAACCAACCCTGTATCTCTTATGGTTGCCAAGATCCCTGCTAGACTGCATCCTTATCCGGGACACCCTGTATACATCTCAAACTTTTATTATTTTTTGAAGTAAAACTTCTTAGGCGGCGGTCTGATATTTAGACGAGAATATGGAGAGTGATTTGAAAGACGCATCACGTAACGTCACGTTTTGGAAAATTTCGTTACACGAGAGAAAAGGAAGATATTTATAACGTAGACTGTAGCGAGAAGGTGAAAGCGAGACAATGACAATAACAGACGAGGAACAATTGACACAAACCAAGGGTTATAAGTAAAAAGGATTGCCTATTATTGTCAAGCGGTTATACCCTTGAAAGGTCATTATAGATGCGCATCTCCCTTTTGTGTGGCCGTGGCCATTCGTCTTTACCCCGACTCATGTGCTAAGTCTAAAAGCTGTATGAGGGAGGGTATAGTTTTTAAAAAGTTTCACTTCTCAATATGTGTATAATGCTACACATGATTTTTTTGAAGTGACACTTCTTAGGCGGCGGTTTGAATTGGATGAGAATGTAAGCGATTTGAAAGACGCGTCACGTTACACGTAACGACACGTTTTGGTAAATTTCGGCACACGACTGACGAAAGAGAAGAAAGATATAACGTGGAGAGACGGAGAAAGACAGCCAATGACAATGACAACCGACGAACGATTGACACAAACCAAGGATTATAAACAAAGAGAATTGCCTATTATTGTTAAGCGCCGGTGCCCTTGTGACGTCACTACAGATGCGCGGTTTTTTTTGTGTAGCCTTTCGTTTTTGTACCCCGACTCATGCGCTATGTGTCTGAAAGTTGTATGAGGAAGGGAATAGTTTTAAATATGATTTTTTTTAATGTTTAAATACAGTTGGGAAAATTAGGAATGTCACCCCCCCCAAACCAGAGGCCTTCGCTACGTCCCTGGGTTGAAGTGTCAAGGCGCG